GCCTAGAATCCCCCAGTGAGGGGCTGAGGGTGTGGCTCAGTGGTAGATTGCTAAGCACACAAACACAAAAGGAACAAAAAAATGTAAATGGTAGTTGTTTTGCCACAGACATTAATCTATAGACAAACAATACCATAATCATTATCAATAAAAGCATGTTTGGTAAGCCTGACTAACCAAAGAATCTACTTCCTTCCTTTTAGGGGTTCCCGGAGCTGTCCCTGGTGGAGTTCCTGGTGGAGTTCCCGGTGGAGTCTATTATCCAGGTAATGTACATACATTTTCCACACACCTATGTGTGACAGATGGGGATGGACTATTCATGAGAGATAGAATATTTTTAAACATTTTTATTACATTTATTTTTAGGGCTTGCGTGTGGAGGTCAGGGGGACAACATTTTTGTTTGGTTCTTTCTTTCTTTTTAATTTGTTTTGTTTGCCAAGATAGGCTCACTATGTAACTAGGCCTGGCTGGCCTGGAACTCACAGAGATCCACCTGCCTCTGCCTCCACAGTGCTGGAATTAAAAGCATGCACCACCATGCCCAACTCCAGAGGACAAGCTTTGGGAATCAGATCTTTCCTACCACCTTTTGGGTCCCAGAAGTGGAATTTAAACTGTTAGTCTTGGCAGCAAGTACCTCTGCCCACTGAGCTACATTATGGGCCAGAGATGTTATTTCCATTTCTGCCACCAAGGACCTGCAAATCAGGCCCACTTTCCAAAGCAGTTAACCAGGCTGGGAATGTGACTCAATTATTAAAGTGTTTGCCTAGCATGTGTGAAACCCTGGGTCCCATACCCAGCTCTGCATAAACCAGGTGTGGTGGTGCATGTTTACAATCCTAGCACGTAGGAGGTATAGGCAAAGAGGACAGACATTCAAGGTCCATCCTTGGCTATAGAGAGAGCTCGGGCCAGCCTGGGCTGTGTGAGACCCTGCCTCAAAAAAAAAAAAAAAAAACTGATGCAACTATCAGAGCTAGGTGTGAAGGCAAACAGAAAGTCTAGAGTTCAAAGCCAGCTTGAGCTGCATAGCAAGACCCAGTCTCCGTCCTAAAAAGAGCTGCTGATGGAACAGAGCTTAAAAGCATAAATATTGTACAAGATGGAGCATAATCTCCTCTGTCAGGAGCCTGGCGCCTTCACACATTCCTGTCACCGGAAGGTTCACAGTCCTCGGAGCATTAATCCCACTCCTGGCAACCCACTGGAGGGAAAATAACTGAGAAAAGAGAAATGGAGAAACTAAGCTGCAGATGTGGCTCAGCTGGGGGAGTGTTTGCATAGCACGTGTGAAGCCCTGACTTCCATCCCTAGGATCGCACAAACAGGGCGCTGTGGAGAATGCCTATCACACTGAGCGAGCTAGCCAGCAAGACTAGCCACATCAGTGAGCCCTGGGTTTGATTGAGACATCCTGCCTCAATGAATACGGTGGAAGAGTGATGGGGAATGATTCTAGACATCAGCTTTTGGGCCTCCACATGCTCGTGTATGTGTATGTGTGTGTGTGCGCGCACACACACACATGCACTTATATACACATGCATACCAGACACATACTTGAAAAATGGGAAGAAAATAACTAACGTGAAGTCTGAAGACTCTCAAGCTCCATCCTAGGACAAACCGACACAAGGCTATTGAGCCAGTGAGGCAGAAACAGAGGCTGAGGGTCACAGAGGTTGACTCGCCCAAAGTCAACTAAAGTTTGGCAATGGGGAGAGGGGTGTGGCTTATATAGAGGGTGTGGCTTATACAGAGGGGTGTGGCTTATATACAGGGTGTGTGGCTTATATACAGGGGTGTGGCTTGTGTGGAAGGATGCTGATCTTTGCTCCCTTCCTCCCTCCCAACCTCTCTCCCTCCCTCCCTCCTTCCCTCCCTCTTTCTCATCACACACAACAGGGGCTGGTATCGGAGGCCTGGGAGGAGGAGGTAAGCTCAGAAACTAACCTTAGATTCCTCCTTGGAAGGATCTGGTTATCATCATGACCTCCCACCCCCAACACATCATTAGCTGTGGTGAGATCTCAGCCACCAACGGGTCCTTGTTATACAGGTTTCTCTCCTGGGAAAGAGACCAAATTCTAAATGAGACCCTGATGCCCCTTTAGGACCTTCTATTCATTCTTGTTGTTTTTCCTCATGACCCCTTCCTATTTTTATATTTCTTTGATCTATTCCCCAACATTCCTGTAGGGTGAAATTAACTCCTTTTGAAGGAGGAAAAAAAAAACTTGAGGAATTGCTGGAGATATTGGTGTATACCTATAACCCAGCACTTAGAAAGTAGAAGCTGGGGAATCAAGAGTTCAAAGTTATCCTTGACTACGTAGCAAATTCAAGACTAGCCTGAGCTACGTGAGACAGTCTTAGAATAAAACGGAGAAGCTGCCATTCAACCGAAAATCCAGAGAGAGAGCTGGGCTCCCAGAGGCTCCATGTCTAGGCAAAAGGACCCCCTGGACATATTTAGCACTTAGGGAAGAGACCCCATGTACAACCCTTACCTTCTACTGGGGAGAAGGGGCAGAGTTAAGGGATGGATAAAGATTAAGAGATGGAAAGGACTTATGATACCAAAACTTGGGAGGTGAAAGGAAAGAAGTTTAGAAGTTCAAAGTCACTCTTACCAATATTGTGAATTTGAGGCCAGCCTGGGCTATGATGAGACCCTGTCTGATACCAAAGGAAAAAGGGAGTGGTGGGGAGAAAGGTGAGACACTTCTACCCTGCCCTCCATCATCTCTTCCCTCTGCAGCTCTGGGACCTGGAGGAAAACCACCTAAGCCAGGTAAGAGCCATCAAGGGAGGGTCCTTGAGATGGGGAGGGTGGGATTCCCGGAGCCATGTCTGGCAAGGGAGGCAAAAGAAGGGAATCAAGGGCAGCAAAAGCCCCCAGGTATCAACAGGCTAGAGTCGGGCCCCAGGTTATCCAACAACAGGAGACTGGAGGTAATTCAATGGCTGTGTCATGCATGGGCCCACTGTGCCAGCTTCCTGCTCATTGCCCTCTGCTCATGGCCCCAGGAACACTCCTGATGCTTCAGGCAAAGCAAAACCTGAGGTCCCCATGGCTCCTTAAAGCAGCAGTTAGAATGGAAGGCCCCTAGACGATATACCTAGAAATTTGACTTCTGACTCAGATGTGAGCTTGACTCTAAGATGAACCTGACCGTGGCCCCAGATGTTCTCCCTGCCTGTTCCCAGCCTCCTTCCAGCTGGGTCCAGACCATGATGTTTTCTAGTTTTAAAAAATATATATCATAGCTCTGTCTTATCAATAGTACTGGGATCTGCCAGAAGCAGACATTCTCAGCTTTGAAATGGTGGCAAAGCAGGGGAGGGGGGATCCTCTCAAGGAAACACTTTGTTAAGAAGCAGGTGGAGGCCGGGCAGTGGTGGCGCACGCCTTTAATCCCAGCACTTGGGAGGCAGAGGCAGGTGGATTTCTGAGTTCGAGGCCAGCCTGGTCTACAGAGTGAGTTCCAGGACAGCCAGGGCTACACAGAGAAACCCTGTCTCGAAAAACTAAAAAAAAAAAAAAAGAAGAAGCAGGTGGAGGCCATGGTCCGGTGGTGCACACCTGTAACCTTAGCCACTGTAAAGGCTGAGACAGAAGGGTTCTGAGTTAGAAAGGCCAGCCTCAGATGGCCCTCTCACAGAAAAAAAAAGTAGAAAAACTAATGAGGGTGCAGCTTCATGGTAGAACTCCCGCCTAGAATCCCCCAGTGAGGGGTTGGGGGCGTGGCTCAGTGGTAGAGCATCTGCCTAGAATCCCCCAGTGAGGGGCTGGGGGCGCGGCTCAGTGGTAGAGCCCCTGCCTAGAATCCCCCAGTGAGGGGCTGGGAGCTTGGCTCAGGGGTAGAGCCCCTGCCGAGAGTTCCCCAGTGAGGGGCTGGAGTATAATAGTTCAGTAGTAGAGGACTTTTAATCCCTTTGTGAGTGGCCAGAAGCATGCATGGCTCAGTAGTAGAGCATTTGTGTAGCATGTTAGAAACCCTGTGTTTACACACACACACACACACACTTCATCATAGCTCTATTGATGCCCCTCCCCGATGTGTGGCGCTCTCTATGTGGCACACACATCCCCACCCAGTGCTTGCCACCCTGGCTACAGAGTCACATGCTCCTGGACAGTTTCGATGTCCAACTGCTCTTACAAAATCCCGATGACAGATGACCCAACTCGTAATGAATGTGTGAGGAGCAGATTCCCCTTCACTGAAGCCTATGGGAGTTGTGAAACTTCAGGACCAGGGCCAGCAAGGAAGAAAGAGGACAGGGCATCTGGGCAAGCCAGGTCCTAGGGGCTGGGAGTTTAGTAAAGCCTGGAGATCCCATGGCTTTTAATTTTCCTTGTGGTGCCAAGGATGAAACTGAGCGTCTGTTCTATGCTAGACAAGCACTCTATCACTGAGCTACATCTTGGTACATTTCTTCAAAGATTGCATTTATTTATTGGGTTTTGTATATTTATTTATTATGTGTGTACCACTGTGCCTGTAGAGGTCAGAGGACAACTTTTAAGCATTCTTCTTCCACCATGTAGGTCCCAACAATCGAACTCATGTTGCTGGGCTTAGTGGCAAGTGCCTTTACCCACTGAGCCATCTTATTTTGTATTTTGATTTCGGGTCTCACTAACTTGTCCAGGCTGACCTTGAACTACCTAGCCCAGACAAACCTTGAAATTTAGATCCTCCTGCCTCAGCTTCTTGAGTAGCTAGAATGAATGGCATGTACTACTGGGTACAGTTCCTAAGGTTATCTTTTAGCCTCGGGATAGACTGAAGGATGTAACAAGCTTGGCTAGGGCACCATGAATAACCCAGTGAAGGTCCCCACATCCTGGCTAGAGGGACATCCGGGCCTGCCCAGGCAGGATGGGATGGGGTGCAGGCATTATACAGATCATGTTTGGGAACAATTAATCCCCAGGGAGAGTGGGTGGGTGGCTTGGCAGCTATTCTTCCATGTGGGTGCTGTAGGCTGGCCCCTCCCTGCCTGAGCTCTCAGTGGGGGACCAGGCAGCTGGGAGCCAGCACTGCCCACACCCAGAACACCAGCTGGAGACCAGCAGGCTGGCCAGCCACTGCAAACAAGGGGTATGGGCAAGAACAGGAGGGAGCCAGGTTGAGCATCCATGGGATACCCTGGGAGGTGGCACACAGTAGGTGCTACCTGCTCACAAGCGCAGTGGCTGCAGGAAAGTAGGGAATATGGAATCTATAAATCAATGGGTATGTTAGCCAAGCACAGTGGCACAAGCCTGTCATCCTAGCATTCAAGAGGCTGAGGCCAGCAGATAAGTTCAAGCTTTAGCCTGGGCTACAGAGTGAATCTTGTGGAAACTGGGGCAGGAAAACCACCAATTCAAGGCCAGCCTGAATTACACAATGGGAAAAATCAGACATGTTACACATATCTCTAACCCTAGCACTTGGGAGGCAGAGACAAGCTGATGTTTAACCATTCAAGGCCAGCCTGGTCTGCGTAGCAAATTACAGTCCAGCCAGGGCTACATAATTAGACCCTCTCTCAAAAAATAAAAATAATAAGAAGAAATAAGATTAGAAGGCTGGATTTGTGCCTTGGTTGGTAGAGCACATTCCTAGCATGTACGAGTTCCATTCTGGATTCTGTCCCCAGTACCACATAATAAGACATGGAGTCATGTGCCTGTAATCTTAGCAATCATGAGAGAAAGACCAAGTTCATATCTGGCTGCACACTGCGTTTAAAGCCAGTGAGAGCTACATGAAACCCTGTCCCAAAAAGAAACAGGTGGCAAGAGAGATGGCTCAGCAATTAAGAACACTTGACCTTACAGAGGACTAGGGTTCCGTTACCAGCATGCACAGGATGGCTCACTTGTAACTCCAATTCCAGGGAGTTAGACTCCCTTTACTGGCCACTACCAGCACCAGACACACACATGATATACATACATACATGCAGACAAGGCACTCATACATGTAAAAATATAACTCTTTTAAATATTTTCACTTAAGGGACTAGAGAAATGGCTCAGTGATTAAGAGCACATACTGCTCTTACAAAGGACCCAAGTTCAGTTCCCAGCACCCACATCAGGCAGCTGAGCATGGTCAGGAACTCAGCTTCAGGGGATCTGACATCTCTGCCCTCCATAGGTGCCTATACTTTTGTGTACACACATGTGTGCACTTCCGCGCATATGCACATGTGCGCACATGCACACACACACACACAAATATACATAATTTTTAAAAGTAGAAATAGCCAGGCATGATGACACATGCCTTTAATCTCAGCACTTAGGAGGCAAAGGTAGGTGAATATCTGAGTTCAAGGCCAGCCTGGTCAACAGAGCAAGTTTCAGGACAGCCAGGGCTACACAGAGAAACTTTGTCTCAAAAAGTGAAAGAAAGAAAGAGAGAGAGAGAGAGAGACAGAGAGACAGAGAGACAGA